CTGTAATCCTAGCAATCTGGGAGGCTGAGGCAGGCATATTGCTTGAGCTCAGGAATTTCAGACCAGCCAGAGCAAGAGTGAGACCCATCTCTACTCTCTCTCAAAAAAAAAAAAAAAAAAAGGCGGCACCTGTGGCTCAGTGGGTAGGGCGCCGACCCCACATAGCAAGGGTGTCAGATTCGAACTCGGCCCTGGCCAAACTGCAACAAAAAATGGCCAAGTGTTGTGACGGGCGCCTGTAGTCCCAGCTACTTGGGAGGCTGAGGCAAGAGAATTGCCTAAGCCCAGGAGCTGGGCACCATGGCACCATGGCACTCTACCCAGGGCAACAGAGTGAGACTATGTTTCTAAAAAAGAAAAGAGAGAGAGAGAGAGTTAAAGGGCATCTGAACTGGGAAAGAGATCAACCTGTCACTTTTTTGCTGATGATATGATCTTATATCTAGAAAACCCCAAATATTCCACCAAGAGACTCCAGGATTGATAAATAAATTCATCATAATCTCAGGTTACAAAATCAATGCACACAAATTGGTAGCATTCCTATATACCAATAATAGTCAAGCTGAGAGTCAAATAAAAGAATACCATCGACAATAGCTACAAAGAAAATAAAATACCTAGGAATATACTTAACCAAGCACGTGAATAATCCCTATAAAGAGAACTCTGAAACACTGAGAAAGGAAATTGCAGATGACACACAAATGGAAAAATACATGATGCTCATGAATTGATAGGATCCACATTGTTAAAATATTCATACTACCCAAAGTGATCGACAGAGTCAATGCAATCTCCATCAAAATAACAACCTCATAGTTCACAGATCCAGAAAAAATAATTCTATGCTTCCTTTGGAACCAGAAAAGAGTCCAAATAGCCAAAGCAATCTTAAGCAAAAAGAACAAATCTGGAGGCCTTACATTACCAGACGTCTGGTAAAACAGCATGGTATTGGCACAGAAATAGAGACATGGACCAATGGAACAGAACAGAAAACAGACATGAAATCATCCACATACGTCCAACTGATCTTTGACAAAGCAGACGACAATATATGCTGGGGAAAAGAATCAATATTCAATAAATGGTGCTGGGAAACTTGAATAGCCAAATGTAGATGAATTAAACAGGATCCATATCTCAGCACACATAAAAATTAATTTAAGATGGGTCAAAGATTTAAATGTAAGGCATAAAATCATAAGAATTCTAAAAGAAAATTTTGGAAAATTATTCTAGACAATAGACAATGCAAAAAGCTTATGAAGACCCCAATGGCAATCATAGCAAGAGCAAAAACAAATGGGGCATGATTAAATTAAAAAGCTTCTGCACTAAGCACATAAGCAACCTACAGAATGGAAGAAAATATTTGCAAGATACACATACAATAAAGGGCTAATAACCATAATCGACAAAGAACTCAAGCAAATCAGCAAGAAAAAAGCTATCAACTCCATTAAAAAGTGAGCAAAAGACATGAACAGGGTATTTTTGAATGAAAATAAGACAAATGGGCTCAGCGCCTATGGCACAACCGGCTAAGGCGCCAGCCACATACACCTGAGCTGGCGGGTTCGAATGGCGAGCCCGGACTCGCCAAACAACAATGACGGCTGCAACCAAAAAACAGCCGGGCATTGTGGTGGGCACCTGTAGTCCCAGCTACTTGGGAGGCTGAGGCAGGAGAATCGCTTGAGCCCAGGAGTTGGAGGTTGCTGTGAGCTGTGATGCCACAGTTCTCTACCCAAGGCGACAGCTTGAGGCTCTGTCTCAAAAAAAAAAAAAAAAAGAAAGAAAATAAGACAAATGGCCAGTAAACATATGAATAAATCCTCAACATCACTAATTATCAGGGAAATATAAATGAAAACCACAATGAAATATCACCTGGCCCATTAGAATGGCTTTTATTAAAAAGTCCCAAAAGCGTAGATGCTGGCATGGATGCAGAGAGAATGGAATACACTGTTGGTGGGACTATAAATTATTACAACCTTTGTGGAAAACAGGATGGTGATTCCTCAAATAACTAAGTGATCTAGCAATCCCACTACTATTTATCCAAAGGAATTAAGTCAGATATCAAAAAGACACCTGCACTTGAATGTTTATTGCAGCACAACTTACAGTTGCAAAGATGTGTAATCATCCCATGTGCCCATCAATTCATTAGTGGATTAAGAAAAATGTGGTATGTAGCTGGGCACAGTGGTTCACACCTGTGATCCTGGCACTCTGAGACAGGTGGCTTGCTTGAACTCATGAGTTCAAGATAAGCCTGAGCAAGAATGAGACCCAATTTCTACTAAAAATAGAAAAAACAAGCCAGTCATTGTGGTCAGTGCCTATAGTCCCAGCTACTTGGAAGGCTGAGACAAAAGATCTCTTGAGCCCAAGAGTTTGAGGTTGCTGTGAGCTATGACGCCATGTAACTCTACCTGGGGCAACAGAGTGAGACTCTGTCTCAAAAAAAACCCCAAAAAACTGTGGTTGATGTAGACCGTGGAATACTACTCAGCCATGACAAAGATGGATTAATGCCTTTTGCAACACTTTGAAAGGAACTAGAGACCATTATCCTAAGTGAAGTATCTAAAGAGTGACAAACATACACATGTACTTGGTATGAAATTGAAACTGATGAGGACACGTGCACAGAAGGAAGTGAAAACTCAGTGGAAATCAAGCAGGGAGGAGAGGGGCGAAATCTAACAGACACAGTGAACACTTTCTGGGTGATGGGCACACTTACAACCCTGACACAGCAAAACAAAAGTGATCCATGTAACCAAAAACATGTGTACTCCCATAATATTTTGAAATAGAAAATATTTTAAAATGAAAATTAAATTATGCTAATTCTTCTCTTTAAAATGATGAAATAATATATAGCAAGAAAAATTTCCCATAGCCATTAATTTAGGCATGCAACTTTGTTTTTAATATCTGGGTAGTAATTATTTCATAGTTTTGATGAACCATTAGTCTATAAAACACATCTTCTATTAATAGGCATTTAGATTGTTTCAATTTTTTTCTTCTTATGAGCAGTCCAGAAAATATCCTTATCCATGTACATCTCTTGAATGGCCCTATTATTCCATGAGCACAAAGTACCATAATAAGGGAATTTAAATACAGTGGGTGTCAAAAATATATACACACATTTAAGAGTAGAAAAAACGGTATTAAAATTGTAATGCTCGAGTCATTGTTGACTTCTGCAATTACAAGAGATAGAAGATAAAATGTACAGTATAATGAACATTATCACAATTTGAATACAGATTTTCCTTTCTTAAAATGTTTTTGGCACCTTCTATATATTCAAGTACCAGGGATTTTGTTACACGGGTACATACCATTACGTTGTTTGCATTTGTTAGGTAGCATCTGAGTTGTAGCTGAGTCCTTCACCCTGGAGGTGTGTTTTATGCCCCTCCACTGTACCCATGAGGCGGGAGCTTGCTGAGCCCTCTCCCTGTGGCCCTTCCTCCCCACTTGAATTTAATTATATTTTTCTCCCCTGTGGGCCTGTAGTTGTTCATCTGCTGATTTCACATTAGTACTGAGTACCTAGGGTGCTTCCTTTTCCATTCTCGAGATACTTTACTAGGGAGAACGTTCTTTTAACTCCATGCAGAAATGTTTTTTTTTTTTTTAAACACAAGCCAGAGTGGTTCTTATCATTCCCCTTAAGCCTTATCTATTTGGCAGGTAGAATAAAAGATGTTAACTTTTTAAAATTATCAATGAGTTTGAGTAGTTTTTCATACATTTATTGGATTTTTTTAGTTCTTTGAAGTGAATTACCCATCTACAGCCTTAATCTACTGTTTTATTTATCTTTGTTTTATTGATTCCTAAGACCTACTCATCTATTATGAAAACTGATCTGTATTTCTCATGTATGTTAACAATAGTTTTTCCTAGCCAGATGCAGTGGCTCACGCCTGTAATCCCAGCACTCTGGGAGGCCAAGGAGGGTGGCCCTCTTGACTCAGGAGTTTGAGACCAGTTTGAGCAAGAGCAAGACCCCATCTCCAAAAAATAGCCGGGCTTTATGGCAGACATCTGTAGTCCCAGCTACTTAGGAGGCTGAGGCAAGGGGATCACTTGAGCCCAAGAGTTTGAGGTTGCTGTGAACTATGAATTCACAGTACCCAACTGACACTGTCTCAAGGAAAAAAAAAAAGTTTTTCCCCACTCATTTTTTCATTGTTATTTGTGTATTTCTTTTAACCAAACAAAAATTAAGTCTTCAGGGATCCTCAGACTTTTTAAACAGGAGGCTGGAGGGCCGGACTGTGGGCCCCTGGATGAGTCGGCTGCTAAACAGGACAGGCAGTGGCAGCAAAAACACCCGGCGGGCCGGATAAATGTCCTAGGCAGGCTGCATGTGACCCATGGGCCATAGTTTGAGGATGCATGAATTTTGTCATTCCTATCCATTATTTAAATCTTTTCAGGCTTTAGTGGTTTCTTCACAGCAAGAAAGGCCATCTCACACAAAAACTATGCATTATGTAATAGTCACCTTGGTTTTCTACTCCTATTTTTATGATTCTTAAATTCTATTTAATGTCCATTAGAGTCTATCTAGGGTTTATCGGGGGTTAAGTTGGAGACTAATTTTACTTTTTCTGGAATGTTCATCCAGTCATTTCAACATCATTTATTAGATGGTTCATCATTTTCTTGGTTTATTCAAATATATTTTTTAAGGCAAACTATTTAACAAAGTTTATTGAGGAAGAGAAAGGTAGGTTTACACAGAATAAGAGCAGGACACAGGCTTACAGAGCAGGGTACGCTCTCCATAATCAGCGAAAGGGCCTCCTCCACCAGGGCAAGTAGGTAAAAAGGCAAAGAGCCAAGGAGGCAGTTTGTTCAAGTCTTAATTTTTGCCAGACAGGTGATGATTAAAAGGAAACAGCATTTAAATTTGCCTTTGACAATGTTAATAAACTAAAGGTGTTTTATTTTAATAGATGTCTCATGTGAACATCAACAAGGCAAAAGTCCCAAAAAGGAGCATTTACTCAATTACATGTCATCTAAAGATGTCTGGAAATACTACACCCTAGATGAGCTTGGCAGTGCCTTTTACCAAGAGGTAAGAACGTTTTCCTAAAGCCACAGTTATCCACAGTCTAAATACAAAAAAATAGATGACTATAAAAAGCTAAGGTCCAGGGCAGCACCTGTGGCTCAGTGGGTGGGGCGCCGGCCCTTATATACTGAGGTTGGCAGGTTCATACCCAGCCCCAGCCAAACTGCAACAAAAAAAATAGCTAGGTGTTATGGTGGGGGCCTATAGTCCCAGCTGCTTGGGAGGCTGAGGCAAGAGAATTGCCTAAGCCCAGGAGTTGGAGGTTGCTGTGAGCTGTGACGCCATAGCACTCTACCAAGGGTGACAAAGTGAGACTCTGTCTCTAAAAAAAAAAAAAAGCTAAGGTCTATTCTGGACATCATTGCTATTTATTTTGATCCTTCCTACATGTCCTCAAACCCTGAAACATATTTCATCTTGTGTAATTAGCAATAGTAACAGTACTACTACTACTAAGAGTGATGGTGATGCGAAATTAGTTTGTAAGTGTGCCCTCTGTGCTACTTATATACTAACACTAATAAGAAATACCTGTAGCCTAAGACTTCTATAAGGAAATGATGTAACTTTATTGAGTTGCAAAAGGAAAACTTGAATAAATGAGGAGGCAGGCCTTCTCTAATCCTTGCCTGCTCTCACTGTATCTGGAGATGTATTTTTTTCTTTTGAAAAATTATAATAGGAGGCTTATTCTATCACATATAAAATATTTTATAAAAATACAAAAACTAACACAGTATAGCACTGGTCCAGCGATGGATATTCAGATTGATTTAAAATGATAGCTGGATAATGAACCCATCTCAATATGTGAATTTAACCTATGATATGAGGCATTTCATTCAAGTGTAATGGGAACAGGGAGTGGATTATTCGGTAATTATTGAAATAATTAACTTGTCAGCCATTTTGGGAAAAGGAAGCTTAAAAGTTTCCATTCTTCACCCAAAATAAATTCTATATCCATCAACTATTTAAATTTAAAACTAGGGCGGCGCCTGCGGCTCAAAAGAGTAGGGTGCTGGCCCCACATACCGGAGGTGTTGGGTTCAAAGCCGACCCTGGCCATAAACTGCAAAAAAAAAATTAATTAATTAATTAATTAAAAAAAAATAATGTGAGTGAAAAATTTTTCTATCTTGAAATTTAGAATCTCTTTTCAGCATGAACTAAGACCCAAACACCATAAAAAAAAAAAAAGACTGATAAATTTGACTACATGAAAGAGAAAAAGCTTTTGTACAGCAAAACTTTGTATAAACATATGATAAACTTGGGAAAACACATGCTACATAAATGACAGTTAAATCGTAATTGTTCCTAACCTACTGTGTACATAGAATTTTTATAAGTTACTAATGTAAAAATTTCAGTGGAAAAATGTCAACGAGGAAAAAACTAGCAGAGCCAGTGTGGATAAAAAGTGAGTGCTTCAAGGTCTGTTGGTAATGGGTAACACTTGTTTTCTCTAGTTGTCGTTAATGTCTTTATTACTTTCATTTAAAAAAAAACCATTACAAAATCCATGAACATACAAAAACAATGTAAGCAATTCTGAAAAGTACAAAGAAGAAAGTAATAAATTATTCACAGTCCACCACCCAGAGATAATCAAAGCAACAGTTGGTGAACATAATTTTAGACCTCCTTTCCTCCATCTACAGGAGGATGGCTGCAGAGGGGGTGGGTGGGTGGATACATAGGTAGCAGTAATTTTAGAAGAAGACCATTATGCTCCTTTTAAAAAATAAAACATATTTAGCACCTGTAGTTCCAGTTACTTGGGAGACTGAGGCAGGAGGATCGTTTGAGGCTGCAAAGAGCTAAGCTCACTCCACTGCACTCCAGCCTGGCCAGTACAATGAGATTCTGTCTCTTAAAAATAAACAAATAAATAAATAAATAAAAGCATGCATAAAACAGATTTAATTGGAATTTCCTTAAATTCACCAGATGAAAGGTAACGCCGTGATCACTGTCATATGGTCACCGTTATAATTAATCCTTTCACAGGCTTCCCAGATCCCAGGCAGTGTTTTAGGTGCTGTCCAGGTGTTCTGTCTGGTCTTCATTGCAACTGCAGAGTAAGGCCCTACTATTAGCCCAGTGTAAGTTGAGGAGGCTGAGGCTTGAAGGGTTGACCAAGTTGGAGCCAAGTGCTGGAGCCAAGTTTAGGCCCAACCAGTGTGGTTTTATCTTCCTTGCTCATAAGCCTGCAATATGGGCCTCAAGTGAAATTGGACACAATTTTGAAGTCTGGGTGAATGTTTCTTTCCTACAAGGCGTATTAGGTACCCAAAGAGACTTTACATAAGAAAAGAGATTTAAAAAACCACTAAGAGCTGGAAAATGTAGGATGTTTTTGAAGGATGTTTGAATTACAGACAGTGTGGATTACGAAATTCGAAGGGGCTGGCCTTTGTGTTTCTCTTACCTCTCCCTCCCACCTCCCAATTTTTGTTGTTTATAGTTTGTTCTCAGTCAATTTTGTAATACTTATGTTTTGTTCAGTAATCACAATTCCTCTTGTTGTTTGACTTTGTCCTATATTGACGTGAACTTAACGTGCATCGGTTAGCTCAGCGCTCCCCGCAGTCTGTCCCTCTCGGAGTTCTGTATTTCCATTTATGTTTTTGGTTGACTGGATTTCACTGTCAAGCAATTTCCTTAAGAAAGGCTCATGGGTGATTTTCCCTTTTTTTCTTTTTGCATATTTGGGACTGTGTGCCTTTGATTTTATACTTGAACCGCAGCCTGGCTGGGTGTGATTCTTCCATCTACTTCCTTTTCCTCCTAACACTGTAAATGTTTTTTTCCATTGTCCTCTGGCGCTGGATGATGCTGGGGAGAAACTCGGGGCCAACCAGGTTGGCAGGTGATTTCCTTTTTCTTCTTCAATGCCTAAAGTATTTTTTATTGATGCTTGAAATTAAAAAAGCAAAACTACGCTATGTCTTGGCACAGAACATTTTGACAAAGTTTCCTGAACACCATGTGACAATAATTCCATCAGGCAGACGGATTTATTCTTCCTTCTCTTCAGGACCATTTCCTGGGCTGTATTAACTAAAATCTTCCTCACTCCTTTTCTCTTCGTCCCTCTTTTCCTTCTTCTATCCTGCCTTCCGTCGATGATGTTCCCAGTTACCCTTATACTGGATCATCTTTGATAGCTGTCAGGCATCTCTGATAGCCTTTCCTTGATAGCTGTCATCTTCTCTCAAATTGCTTTAATCCTCCTGTGCTTTCCTCTGCCTTCGCTGAGATTCTTTTGAGCCACTCCTTCAATTTAAATTTCATTGTTGTTTCTTATTCTTGCCATTTCTATTTTATTAGTTCCTATTACTATTTTTGTTTTCTATTTTCTTACCTTAGAAATATCCCTTCTCATCGCTCTTCCCCCCTCCCCCCATCCTTGAGATACCTTACTAAGAAGAATATGTTCCAGCTCCATCCAGGTAAACATAAAAGATGCAAAGTCTCCCTCTTTCTTATGGCTGTGTAGTAGTCCATGGCACATGTATACTACAGTTTGTTTATCCACTCACGGGTTGGTGCACATTTAGGCTGCTTCCACCACCTGGCCATTGTGAATTGGGCCCTTCTCCTCTCTTTCACTGTTTAATCATCTTCGAGATTTTCATTAATTAAATTTGTTATTTAGTTCCTTTTTGTGGCATGAAACATCTGCAGGGATGTATTTTTTGTTTGTTTCCTTTGTCTTCAGCCTGCTGCTGCTCTCTTTTTTCCTGTGTTTGCTTAGCTGCGAACCCATCTATTTCTAGCCTTGTTGGGCTCAGGGTAGAGTCACGCACACAAATTGTGGATACAGCTGTATCGTCATTTCCACTGCTGTGCAGTTTTCTGTTTTCTGAATATCGTGTGAGTTATGGAATACATTCTCCCATGGATGGACATTTGGATTGCATGCCATTTTGTGCTTATCCTAAAATGCCACCTTCAGTGGCTGTAAACTTAGCTTCTGGTGCACAGGTGCCAGAGTTTTATAGCTGGGAGTGAGAATTATACCCAGGAGTGGAATTCCCTGCTAGATTGTTGAAAACATGCCCCTCAGATTTAACTGGCAGCACCAAATTGTTTTCCACAATTGTTATCCACCCCCACCAGAAGTACATGGGAGTTCCTGTTGTTCCCTGTGCTCACCCATTTACACCCCCACCGGAAGCACATGGGAGTGCCTGTTGCTTCCCGTGCTCACCCATTTATACTCCCCCTGGAAGCACGTGGGAGTGCCTGTTGTTCCATGTGCTCACCCACACTTGCTAGTGTCAGGCTTCTGCATCTATGCCAGTCAGATGCAGATGAAATGGTATTTCAGCTAGGATTTCAGTGTTCATTTCCCTGATTACTAATGCGTTGAACAGCTTATTATATCTCACAACTTTTATTTAGAAGATTTTTGATCAAAATACATGCACTTTTAACGAATATTTATTGAGGGCCGACTGCACAACCACCTTGTGCTTCCTTCGAGATCAGTGGTTCTCAACCTTCCTAATGCTGTGATGCGTTTTCATTGTTACAAAGGGGTCGCAACCCACAGGTTGAGAACCGCTGCTCTAGATAATTGTTAATGAATAAAACGAACACAATCTCTGCTGTCATAGAGATCGCACTCATAAACACATTCATACATAACATTTGACAGAAGCGGCCAGAGTGTTAGGAGAGACAGGGATTAGGGAAATGTTTACAAAAGCTAAATGCACAGAAGATGATAAAGATGAAAAATGGCTGTACCCTTTGCTGGCCCATCAGTAATGTGATAGCATACTGTATATCATTTAAAACAGAGATTTTCAGCTGTTTTCACCAGCGTGCCATCACACGCTGGTGTGCCATAAGAGGATCTTAGGTGTGCTTCGAAAATGTTTAGAGATCATTAATGATATTATTTTCAAAAGACGTTCAAAGCACAGTGAGTATATCCTTTTCTTTGCTCTTTTTTTTTAATCAACATAATTTAAGTGTGCTGTGGAGGTTTAACTGTAGGTTCAGATGCGCTGTGAGATAAAAAAGGTTGAAAACACTGATTTAAAAGAATTAGATAGCTATAAGCTAGTTGTTATGGAAAAAAATTCATAACATATTGTTAAGCAAAGGAAGCATTTGTCAAACCTGAAAGTGTAAGATGATTCCATTTTTGCAAAATTATAATATATGTTTATGTGATCATGTTGAGGGTTTTGGGAACACCAAATGCAAAATTGTGGATGGTGAGACTTCCAGGTATTTTTATTTCCTTTTTTATACTTTGCTGAATTGCTTGCATTTTTTAAAACAACGGCGGCTTGTACTTTCTTTATAAACAGTAACAATGAAAATTTCTAAAGAGTTATATTTGTCACAAAGATAGTACTTCGGTTTCATTCCTTACTCTTTTCCTAAAAGCTCTTAGACATGCCAGAACTACTCTCCTGAAAAAAAAACACTAGAAACCAAACATCATTAAGATATTTAAAATGGGCTTCCTTAGTCCAGTAAATACACTGAGGCCTTACTGCCAGCCTGCTCCTGCTTATGTCTACAAGAGTTCCCCCCAGGCAGTGTATCAAATGCAGCTCACCTCCCTGAAAAAGAAATGGGCCCACTTAGCCACATTTGGGGTTGATTTTATGCAACAAGGCTTGGGTCCTTTCTGAGAAGCATAGCTCTCAATATATTCTTAAAGAGTCTCCCTTTAAAGGTCCAATATTCCGCTGCACACCAAGGGAGATTTAATGAACCTGCTTCTTATTCCTTCATTGGGTGGGGACGCTTGTACATAGATGTCCATGTTCCAGCAGCTTTTTAAAAGAAAGTCACCTTTGTACCACGTCGGTAATCATTTTGCTTACCTTCTTATCCCAGTTCAAAGGAAAGATTGAATTTAGACACGTGAGAGGGTTGAAAATATTGGAGAACATTGTTATTAGTCAACAATAAACAGTGAGAAGACCTTTGGAAATAAAAACAATCTTCACAGGATTTTTATAAGCCATATAAAGATCAGTGGTTGACCTATATTATTGCATTTTAGAAGTCCCATAAGCAAAGCTCATTCATCCAGGTTCTTCGCACTTCCTTATTTAAAAAAAAAGAATGATTAAAGAAATGTCTGGTATATACTACGTTTATGCAGTCCTTACATTAATATTTTCCCTTCCTGTAAAAGCTACTCTTTTAAATAAAATGTCACTGTTTTTTTTGTTTGTTTGTTTGATTGGCTTGACTTAATCAGGAGAATCGTAGCATGGGGTCACAGTAGGGAATGGTTGGAAGTATATTAAGAAAGATGTATCAAACTGGCAGATCCACCAAGTATTTTTAGCTCTGAAATTCAAGGTGGAGCTATTATATGTGCTGCTTTTCCCTGGGAAACTTGTCTGCCTTGTCAATTGAGCGGCTGTGACTGGGAATACTGTTTTGCTCATCAATTAAACATTTGAAGTTCAGTACATGCCATAGTAACCTTTTTGATCAGTTTTTGGAGAGGAAAATGTGAGGAGGTTTTGGTAAAAATAAAATGGTTGAATAGCTCCATGAAGTTGATTTTTATGAATGCCACACTCTAATTTTAATTTGTTGCAGTTTTCGAAGTCCTTTGAAAAGATTGAAAAGGCTCTCAGTGCAGGGGACCCAGCTAAAAGTGGTTATGTGTCTTTTAATTACCTAAAGGTTGTCCTTGACACCTTTATATGCCAATTACCAAGAAGAGTTTTCATCCAGTTAATGAAAAGGTAAGAGTCCCGTTGTTTCCTTGTATTTTTCCCCCTAACGTCAACTGTGAGAATAAGGAACAGCTTCATTTATTTTTTATTAATGTTTCAGACTTTTTATTATTAAAAATTTCAAACATATACAGCCACAAAGAGAAAAATAAAATGAATCCTCTGAAAAATAAAATGACCCAACTCCAGCCGGGGTCACATCCTGGCCAGTCATTTCATCTCTTTCTCTGCTTATTTTCCTTAATCCTGGAGATTTTTGAAACAAATGCCAGAGATCATATTTCCCCATGTCTCTCTAAAAGATAAGAAAGCTTTTTTAAAAAAAAAGATGAAAATGCTGTTTTCACATCTCATAGAATTATCAGTAATCTTAGTGAATATCCAGTCAAGGTTAAAATTTAACTCCTTGTCTCCTGTTTTCTTTTACAATTTATTTAAATCAGAATCCAAATTCAGTCAGCACGTTGCAGGTGGTCAGTCTGCCACAGTTTTATTTTAAATCCGTAGGCCTCTTCTTTATTTCTTAATTTTACAAGTGATCTGGATTGTTCGTTATGTGGGCTTTCTTACAATCTAGATTTGACTGATTGTAACCTGCAGGGACATTCAGCCTGTTTCCCTGTCTCCCTCCCCAACTCCCTCCCCTAAATTGTTAGTTCAGTATCAGTAGGCTCAGACCCATGTTCACATTTTTTTTTTTTTTTTTGCAATAAAACTCCATAGGTGGTGACAAACATATTGACTGGTTGTCCCTCTCTCTCTTTTTGCGATCTAACAACCTTGGTTGATTGCAGCTAGATTCATTAATTCACTAGAGATTGTAAAGTGGTGGGACTGTCCATCTGTTGTTTCTTTTATTAGTTGGAGGACTTCTGTGATGAAACTGTCTGGTATCAGTGAGACACCGTCAGTACAAGGCAGGATACCCTTGATTTTTTCCCTTTCATTTGCCACTTTCCAAAATGGTGAACTGGCTCCATAGGTTCCTCCAAAATCAAGAAATGAATGTTTTCTTCTTAATTATTTTTTTCTTAATAATTACTATGAGCTTCTAAATTTGAACGTATTTTATGTGTCTTAATCCATTACAGTTATTATTCTTATTGATGCTTGGTTTGTTCTGTCCTGGCCAGTAGAAGGCTTTTCCTGCTGGCTCTTGAGTCCTGTTGTTGTGGCCCTGACCGTCTTGAATAGCTTTCTTATTTCTGTTGTGACAACATGCTCCTGTACATCTCCTGCCCAGACCTGACACCAGCCATTCCTCCAAGGATGTGTGGTTCCTTTTAGTTGGAAGTGGTATATGTAGAACAAAATCTGAGTAAGAAATATTCTCTTTAATTTACCTGGTTTTTTATCCAGATAAGACAGAAACCCTTTCTCAGGGGAAGTAGGATAGAAGCTAAGGGAAATATTGTTCTGTAAAATTCTGGCAACTGGTGGATGCCTTGGGGGTTCCCTAAAAAGAAGAAGCAGGAGAGAAGGGGGAGGAGAACACAGCATGAAGCTGGGGCAGCTGGATCATTCCCCACAGCACTCACTTTCCTTGACAGCACCCTGTGTGCAGAGAGATCTCTGTGTACTCACATCGTGGCTTTGGGAGTGAAAAGCAAAATTTGAAATCCATACATCTGCACGCTCAGGTTCATTGCATTGCTGTTCACAACAGCCCAGTGTCGTCGTGACGCAACACAAAATGAATAACACCTACTTGTCCATTTGCACTGAACTGAGGGGCCCTGGGAAGCCGACACCAGCAACCTCTCCAGAGGGAGAAACACGGGTGCAGCCCCTTCCCAACATTCCTCTCTGGCTTTTATTGAAATCTCAGGCCTGAGAAAATACAGTACAGCAGAAAGCTTCAAAGAGTGTGAAGGTTAAAAAGCATGTAGTTTATCTTTAGCTGCATGATCGAGCTCCTAACACACCCTGTTTCCTGCGCTTCTGCCTTGCCTTAATCTTATCACTGCTGATCTGTGACTTAGGGCTGGGACAGTGTGCTGTGTCCAGGGAGTACTGTCTCAGCACTCAGGGCCAGCAGTGAAGCTTGGCTTTTTCCAAGATCTGCCCCTAGTGCCTAGCACTTCTAACCCTATAGTCTTGGAACTGGACAATATCATGCTGAGTGAAATAAGCCAGAAAGACAAATACTGTGTGTTCTCACTCGTCTATAGAACCTAAAACAATCAAGCTCCAAGAAGCTGGAGGCGGAATGGTGGCTACCGGTGGCTGAGGGGTGGGGGACAGAGGGAGGACTGCCAAAATGTCCAAAGTGCCAAGTGGACAGCAGGAACAAGTTGTTTTTTGTTTTTACTTTGAGATAAACTGCTCAGGTAAACTCCAGCATGGTGATGATACTAAAGAATAATAATGCGATGTACATTTTAAAATTGGTACGAGAATAAATGTCTAATGTCTCACCACCAAAATGATAAGCATTTGCAGGGATGGCCATATTAATTAGCTCAATTTAATTATTCCACATTGTACTCATAAATCCTAACTTCACTTTGTATGCCATGAAAAAATATGACTGCTACATATAATTTGTCAATTTACAATTAAAAAAAACAAAAATTAAGAGCATTTACATTTATGAAAGCATTTACATTCTGGTATTTTAATCCTGCTTTAGGAAATACATTCTAAGGACAAAGTACCTTGCCAAAGGGAACTATCTGTGGCCAGTTACTAGTTGAACTTTCCATCCTGCCATCTCGCTACATTTTTCTTAGTTTTGTGAGTTTTTATAAGGCTTGCCAAATCGTTCTATCAAAAGAGTAGCAGTTTACATCGCCATCGAGGTTATGTGAGTGTTCTAGTTTCATATTCTTCCCAGCACTGAATATTAATATTGTTTTAAAATATTGATGACTCATGAGGTGTGAAGCGGTGCCTTGTTACTGTTCTAATTTCTGTTTCTTGGAGTGATACCAAGGCTGGACCTGTCCCTGTGCCTGAGTGCTGTGTCCCTCTCATGTGAATTCACTGCTTGTCCTAATTGGCTGATCACCCCGTTGGTGGTTTAATTTTTATCACTGTCTTCTTTAATAAGTTTTGAGTAACTGGGTGATTATCAAAAGGTAACCCCTTTCTGTCACCCACACCACCTGCTCTCTCCCTTTCATTGGCATGATGCCGCATGGTTCTGAAGTTTAGTTTTAACATAATCAAATACATTAATCTTCTTTCGGAACGTATTCTGTTGCTTAAAATCTGTAAATTCATCATTCTTACTCAGCGTGATCAAAACTCTATTCTACTCAGCTTGCTTTTCTTATTCTTTAAAACAAAACACTTCCCTTCATCCTAAAGGGTGTCCAAATTAATTTTTGTCAGATAGATACTCTGTTTTTTTCCCACCACCATGTCTTAAATAATCCTTTCTTCCCCCATTATTTTTAAAGTCTGCTTTGTCGTATATTAAATTCCTACCCATAGTTGGCCCAATTTGTGTTTTTATTCTATTCCACTGATAGATTTCTACTCTACACAGACATTTCTATATAACATTCTATCTACAATGGTCCCTCTAGTTACCTTTTTATTTTCCATTACTCTTTTTAAAGAGAACTTTGGGCTCCTCATATTGTCACAGTATTTGTTTTTAACCTATTCTTGAATAGAGAGAGTGATTGTCAAGGATTTATGACTTAACTGTGTTACCTCATAAGAAGAGAGAATCTGCTGAATTCTACTGAAAACACTGGGCTGAGGAACTTGAGTGAAAGGTGAAGATTGGTGTCCTGCAGTGAGTGTGGTTCTGGAGCTTCCCTGTACCCCGGGTAGTGCCAATGTTCCTTTTTCTTTTGCTCTCCTGTCAACCCCCGTGAGGATATGGTGAGTCAGAGCACCTGGAGGTGGGAGTGGAGGACTAGCTCTTCTCTGCCTCTGCATCCCAGGAGGCCATAATTCATCTTCTAGGTTTAGGTTAATGTTTGTGGTAATTTGCCAGGAAGATTCCATGTCCGCATTAGACAAATTTTTTTATGACATTTGCATTTAAAAGCTTATTTTAAAATTCCACTAAAACACTGGTATGTGAATATTTATAATAGCTGTATTCATAATCACTCCAAATAGGAAACAAGCCAAATGTAACTCCACAGGTGAGCAGATAACTGGTGGACCCACACAAGGGACACTTCTCACCCATGAGGAGGAGTGGACCTCTGAGATGTAAAATGAATGAACGAAAGAAGCTTTTCAAAGGCTGCTACTGTAGGACTCTATGTGTACGATCTGGAAAAGGCAAGACAGTGAGAATGGGGAAGAGGTCAGTGAACTGCTGGGTCAGGAGTGAGAGGAGGCCGTGTCCCCTGCAGGGGCGGCATTTTGGAGGTGATGGGACTGTTCTGAATTCTAAGTGCAGGAATCTACACCTAAGTGAAAGCTCATCAAACAATGCACCCAAAGCAAAAATCGAGTTTGTTGCCTTTTAATTTAAGAAAGAATTTTAAACACATGCTATTGTTTTTCTAAAGGCAAACACTACAAGAAAGAACGAAGTAAAATAAAATAAAAAATCTCATCACTAACAAAGTGATTTGAGAGAGTATTCTAACATCCAATGTAAGAATGATAATACCAAAAAAAGTATCTTTTTGAGTTTGTTCTTATTTTTAAACAATATCTAGGGGTTAAATTAAAACCCCTAACAGTTTGGTAATGAGGCATAAAATTTTGATCCAAATAATATTTTAGAAACTTTAAAAGCTATTTTTGCACGTGTGTGTGTATTTTAATGAAATGGTAGACATTAATTGAAGACCTAATTTGACCTTTGCTACTGATATACTGCGCTCTTCTTTTTGTTGTTGTTTTATAGCTTCAGGGGCTCAGGGATGTTTTTGAGACTGAGATATATTGTGTAGTGGGCTTTTTGTGTCACTATCATCCGAATAGTGTGTGTTGCACACATTAGGTGGTTTACTCACCCCCTTCACCCACCAACCTTCCCCCCAGTGCTGGGCTTCCCCATGTTGTTTATCCTTTTGTATAAAATGGCTCTA